CAGAACACAGCCTAATGCTTGATCGAAAATTCAAACTAGTCATCAGTATTGGCTGTGGTCACCCTCTTCCCCTCTCTGCGGAAGAAGCTATCTTGGTAGCTCAGAGCTGCCCCAAATGCCTGGTGATCTAATAACTGGTGGGTTGTGAATCCTTTTGTCATGTGTTTAATTTTTTTTTACAAAACAGCATGTGGCAGAATATTTTTATATAGAGATGGATATATCTTAATATTATACCTTGCCTGCTCAATTCGGCTGAAATTCTAGCCATGGGTGGCCCTATTGGCACCACCTAGCTTGACGAGTCAATTTAAAAACCAACTGCAACATCCATTAAGATCCAATCATTGTTTGGGTATTCAAGCAGCCGTGGCCGGCAGGGGAGAGTCCTAAACAGCACGAATGGAGAAATTGAGTGGCTTCATCCCATTGAGCCCACAGATTGAACAAGAGAAAGCGAGCCGTGTATGGCTAGCCTTAAACAGTTGTCACCAGAACAGGTGTCCCTATTGGAATATTTCCCTTTTTAGTCTTATCCCATTGACAAAATTGGAAATTTTTGGACTTTCCGTCCCTTGTCCAGTTGGCAGTGGTCACCAGGATGGAACTACTACTTCGTCTGAACATGGTTATAGGGTGGGGGAGTACAGGATGAACCCATTAGTTGGGTGGGGTGATCTTGGACAAGGCTGTAGGTCTTAGACTTGGATGTTCTGTCCATCAGTGGTGTCTGTATCACAAGACTGACTAAAACAGAATTAGAACTCCTTTTGGCCGGTAAAACAGTTGTGTACTTTGCAGTTTGCCTGGAGTTCAGTTATAAAACGTACCTGCCCAGCTTGACTCCTATATACCCTTCTATATAAAACTTGTGATAGCGCATGCTCTTCTTCCCTAAAAATGCCCTGTAATGTTTTTCAGTAAGCAGTCTGCAAGTGATGCCCTCTTTTGTGTCTGTTTTGTGATTTTAGTATTTTTTATGTTTTGGTTTTGTTCAGGTTATGGCAATATTGCTCCCAAGACGTCGGCCGGGCGCCTCTTCTGTATATTCTACGGCTTGTTTGGGGTGCCGCTTTGTCTGACTTGGGTCAGCGCTCTTGGAAAGTTCTTTGGAGGACGAGCAAAAAGGCTGGGCCAGTTCCTGACCAAGAGAGGAGTCACTCTGGTAAGAATCCATACGCTGTGTCTGAGAAATGTTGTAACCGAGTAGGAGATGCAACGCAAACTATCTGACATTTCTGAACCCGTCTTTCTGGATAAAACGAATCTTGCCACATCTAAGAGGGTTTATTAGAATGTTTGTTGACATATTTTATTCACTGGGGGCACTATTTTGCTCCAGCAAGCCTTCCCATTGTGCAAAATACTCTGGTTACCAGTAACCTGCTTTTCCCGAGTCTACGTTTTTGTAGGGATCCCAGCTCCACCCACCTGAGCCTTTCTGTAGGCACTTATTACATAAGCCTGGGGTCCAGTGACTTTTAGTTGCTGAAAGCATAAATAGAAAAGTAATAGTTTAAAATAGGGGAAGCCTCTCTAGCATCTGATTTACAGGCAACCTGTTTATTCTTGGTTTATCTCTTCTGTTGAGTACCCAGCAGAACACAGCCTAATGCTTTATGGAAAATTCAAACTAGTCATCAGTATTGGCTGTGGTCACCCTCTTCCCCTCTCTGCGGAAGAAGCTATCTTGGTAGCTCAGAGCTGCCCCAAATGACTGGTGATCTAATAACTGGTGGGGGAAATTTCAAGAAACAGCAGTAGAGCTGGAGGATGCACAGATGCACCAGAATGGATGAAGCAGGGACATCCTTCCAATGCAGGTCCTCATGTACAGCTTCCTCAAACTCAACAATGAGCAACAGTAGTGATATTACCATATTTCACTCCAAATCTGGTGAGACCAGTCAGAGTCAGTGGTGCCCTTTAAACATCTCAAAGAATAGGCAGGTCAGTCTGACTGCATGGCTACTATCATTGACAATAGCAGCTTGCATATTTAGCCTACAGACCATTGCAGACCTATCCTATTGAAAATGATAGTTGTCTGGATTTAATTGCCATCTCCATATTTTCATGGTCACTGTTCCTGAAGTATGCAAATAATGAGTTATGGGGTCACTGGCTGCGTGCCTGTTCCATGTCATTGAAATGGGAAGCATTTAAAATGCTGGATAAGCGTGGCAGATGGGTAATAGGATAATTCAATTTTAACACGGGATATAAAGCAGAATATTGTTTACATGCTGTCTGGAGGTAGAATAACACACCTCTTCTGAGAATATATAACAAGGTCTGATGGGAAGCAGGGCAGGTGGTGATTCTTTTTCTATATACTATCATCATGTGTAGAACACATGGCGTGCTTTCCTCCAAATATCATGCAAAAGTGCAATCTCCTGCTGCCCATCTGTGCCCCGGCTGCACCCTCTTATCTCATGTTTCCATCTTCTCTCCATCTGGGCCAAACTCTGCACATTTGTTTGAGTTGTTATGCTTCTATACAATTGTGCGATTATGATTATTAATATCCTTTTCTATTTTGTAGTAATTTTCTATTCTGTTGGTTTTCTTCAGAGAAAAGCTCAGATAACCTGTACAGCAATCTTCATCTTCTGGGGGGTCCTTGTCCACTTAGTCATTCCTCCTTTTATCTTCATGAAGACTGAAGGCTGGGACTATATCGAAGGCCTCTACTTCTCCTTTATCACCATCAGCACCATTGGATTTGGTGACTACGTTGCAGGTTAGTTTGTTAATGCACTTTGTGCTTGGTAGGTAACTTCAATTGTACGTATTGGGGGCTAGCCTCATCTTTGACAACCATAGGTGGCCTAACCTAAAGTAGAATTAAACTCCTTTTTTTTTTTTTTTTGCATATATCTACTGCTAGCAAGCAGTAGATATATGCAAAAGCATAAAAAAAATTAAAAAGTTACCAAAAAGGTAATTACTTACCTGTGTCTCCGCCACTCGCTCCCGTCTGAAGATTTTCGAGCCGCCGTGAAGGATCATGGGGCGGGCGCATGCGCAGTAGAGATTTTTGGACAGGAGAAGAGGTCACCCCCTCTGGAAAGTCGGGCACTGGGTCATTGACCGAGAGCCTGATAGTTGCAGGAGAGAGGAGGGGACCCGGCGGAATACCTTATCCCGGCGGGTGACCGTCCCCTCCTCTCTCTGCCAGGGTCCATCACCAAGATGGCCACCGGCAGCTATCACGATGTCATCGCGCACACGTGGTTATGTCACGGCAGGGTGTCACCTGGTATCCACTCCGGGTGGCACCCGGCCTTGGGATGCCCCTGCATGGGACACAGAAGATACAGCAGTCAGCACTAGATCAGAGACCAGCACCAGTAGAGGAGGGACTCCTGAACACTACAGTAAAGAAGATGATGATCGGATCAAGAGGCATCATTTTAGGTAAGTCCTTAAAGCGGCCTGGAGGGGGGGAGGGGGGAATTGTGGCTTTAATGTCACTTTAAGCAATATGATCTCCCTTGGGCTAATTTTTTTTAAACATTTAAAAAATGGTAATTGCAGGTCTAAGATTTTCAAGGATGTTAATTAAACTACTTTTGAAATGTTTTTATTCAGACTTTGGGAAGTGTTTCCTGGTATACGTGCCGGGATGTGTCACCCCAGTTGGACTTGACAGTCACAATTAAAATGGATCTTGCAGTAAAAAATCTGGGCCCCCTCTACCTTCTAAAATGCATTTAGTGTTAGTCATTCCAAAATGTATCTGTAAAAGAAAAAAAAGTTTGATTTATACTTCCTATACCTCCCCCTCGCGCATCATTGGGTGTGATGTTGCCCTCCTTCTGAGAAGATTCTTGGGTAATGTAAAGCAGCCAAAATCTTGTAAGAAGACGCTCCAGTCCATTGCAAATAGTCTTCTCATGAGAATACTTTTTGTGAGATTTCGGCTGCTCTATTTTCCAGGATCTAGCCAGAAGGAAAGGGTCATCCTTGCCTTGGCACTGCTGGCAAAAGACGGGGGTAAGGCAACCAAAAATCTAAATCCTAATGTACATTTTTGAACTTTAAACATTTGGTGTTTTTATTATATTAAGTCTTGGTCAGTATTTGCATAGCCTAAAATTTTACTGCATGTCCTCTTTAAAGTCTATGTCATGTTAAAAACCTTTGCAGTTTAGCATAGAGTGGGGAAGGATTAGAACTCCTGTTGGGTTTTTACTGCAATGCAGGGGCTCCTTTTTAGAACTATTTACCTCCTGCTTCCTGTAGTTCTGCCAACAGATTCACCAGACAGGAAGTGAGGGAAAATCTGCAAAAAGATAACCAGACAACAATATCTGACAGGACCCCTAGCCTTTCCCTACTTGACCCCAGATAGCAGTAGAGGCCTGACTTAACCTTCCACACTTAGTTTAGGATAGTTTTCTTAGTTTAGGATATACACTTTGAGGGGGAAGTATTGCAGTCTGTTCTCAAAAAGGTCTTCTCTCGTTTTGAATGTTTAAAAATGTATTAATTTTGTTAATGTATCCCTTTCTGCAAGTATGAGTCTCCTTGTATCAGCAATCATTGTAACGTGCACTGTTGCCAAAAATGTACTTCCTTTTGAAATCCTAAATTGCAAAATAGTGTGTTGCAATTGTGACGATGTGCACGTGTGACTGAAAATAACCTCTCGTATGAAGTAATGTCAACATCCAAAAGTAATATTCTATTTTTGTTTCTCGTTCAGGTGTGAATCCAAAGGTGACTTACAGTGTCCTGTACAGATATTTTGTGGAGATCTGGATCTATCTCGGACTTGCCTGGTTATCCTTGTTCATAAACTGGAAGGTCAGCATGTTTGTGGAGGTTCACAAGGCCATCAAAAAGAGGCGCAAAAGAAGGAAAGAGTCCTTTGAGAATGATCCATGCACCAAGAAAAACAAACCGCTTTCCATGGCGGGCTCAAAGGATGTGAACATTCTGAGCTTCCTTTCCAAAAAGGAAGAAACGTACAATGATCTGATCAAGCAGATCGGCAAAAATGGTTTAAAGAACGGTAGAGAGAGAATCCTAAACGGGGAACTTCCCGGTAGCGCGCCCAACAAAAGAAAAGAGATGATGGTGGTGTACAACAAACGCAATAGTCTTGGATTCGATGCGGTTACTTTCTCCAATGGCCTTCATAAGCCGAACGTCACAAGGCCTCTGCAGGACAAGGAAGCCACCATATTCATCAACCAATTAGACCGCATCAGCGAGGAGGAATCGGAACCCTGGGAATCCAAAGATTACAAGCCTTTGATTTTCCAAAACAACATTACTTTTGTGAATGTGGAGGAGGAGTGTGATCTATCGGAGGACGAGGAAAAGTCTAAGTCTTCCATAGAGGAAAACAATGACGCACCTGAGACTCCCCAACTCGATGAGTTTACTTTACTAGACGAGTCGTCTTTTTCCAGCAACGATACGGAAGAAACGGTCCCGTATGAACAACTTTTGAACGAATACAATAAAATCAATACCAAGGGAGACACGTGAAGTGGCTGTACGGTTTTTACTGGGACATTACCTATTTAAAATAATGGAGACTTGCTTGACTATGGGTTGGGAAATATTTAAAGCAATGGTTGGTCTGTTCTTGAGGAAAATTTTGGACCAAGTGTTTAGAACATTCTGCCATGAAAACTCTAAACATGAGGTGAGGGGACATTCCTACATTGGACAGCTACTAGTGAAGGCCTTTGCCAGAAGATCTTGACGTCAGATTCACCTGACACCCAAGTGTCTGACAAAACAGGACATTTGCTCCCTGCCTTCTGTGTCCATTATATTTCTTTTATGGAAATACTTGAATTTGTTAACTGTATATATGTAGATTGTATTTTAGTTGCACTGTCTTGTGACAAAACAATGTGTACTGAGATGTCCATGTCATGAACGAGTGGCAGAACAATTTTTTTTTTGAAGGGACACAATCCTTAAGGAGGGTAACGAGTCTTTGAAATCTCATGTGTCTTTGACTAGTAATGATAGTCTTGTCTTTCATGTAAGTCCCTCCCCATCACCTGCCAGTTGAAAACCTTTTGGTCACACTGGCCCATATTAACCTTTTGCCAACGGATGTTGCCAAGTTTGATGGCCGTCATGAAAATACATGATATCTGAGCCATTTTTGCCAGACTCCTCTCCCTTTTTATAAGACTACTATGCCAAAGTACAAGTTGATTTTAAGTGGAAGTGCTGCTCATTGCATGTACAGATGCCAGAAGGCTTGCCTCAAGTCTCATGCGCTGGGAAGCCAACGCATCTAAAGATATACAGTTAATGCCTGAAACTTTATCATGTGGGAACAGTAGTGATCAGACTAGAACTAGGACCTATCTAATCAATCTTATCACTTCAGCTGGCCTAGGTCATTTTTTGTTGCCTGTTCAGATGAGTTTGTTACTCTACTGTCTAGAAATGGATCGGTTGGGTGGAGATAAGCTCAGTTTTATCATCGGCTTAAGTCTGTTTTGCAAGAACAAGAATAGCCTGGAAATTTTGGATCAGCTTGTACCTTTTTTTTTTTTTTTGCCTAATGCCCCTTATTGCCACTCATTCTTTTTGCACAGCTGGTACTGTATGTTTAACTTGAAAATGTTTGTTTAGAATCTTTTGACAACACAGCCATAGGGCCAAAGCAATGGTTTTAATTCGTCAGAAAGGCCTAATTTTTGGTGTAGCATTTTACCTCTTTTTTTTATATCGAATCAGTTTTGTATGTTTGCATGCATTTGATTTCAATATGTTTTATATTTGGTAATCATTTTGAGATCAACTATTTTTTTGTGGTTTTTTTCTGTATATTTTTTTTTTAAGCCAAATTGTATTTTTAATTTAGACACTCCAAATGAGTTCCCTCCTTAAACCCTGCAAATGGTTGAAACTGTAACACTCCCACTTGGGGTCTTTTAGAATGGTTTTCTGTATTGCGATTGCTTGGATTCCATCGAGAGAATTTTGAAAGGAGAACTATGGGTTCAGGGCTTTTCCCCATAGTTCTCCTAAGGGTAACGGGAGGACACAAACTAGCGTCCTCCCGTCACCCTAAGCTCAGCTAGCGGTATACTGAGACGCCGCAGCCGGGACGGATCCCGACATTACTGTTGAGATGCACCCAGCTGCGGGATTAACAGCTGGCTCTGCCTATCTAGAGGCAGAGCCAGCTGTACCCGCCCCCTCCCCCGTCTGTTCAGCACTGGAGGATCGGACAAGGGAGGGGGAAATCACAGCAGGGAGCTGTGACTAACAGTCACGGCTCTCTGCAGGGATAGATGGAGAAGTGAGCGAGCGACGGTATGTGTTCGCTCACTTCACGATCTATTGAGCCTGAGTGATTTTCACTCGCCTCATAGTTCTCCTTTAAGGAAAAAAAAAGAATGTGTCTTGGACAGGGATAAATTAATACATGCGGAACATTTCTTCAATGTTCTGGTAGAAGAAATCCAAGAATGTTTTCTGTGTAAACAAGGCAATGCCAATTCCCTGTCAAATGTTACCCTTTTTACTTTGCCAACAAACATTTCTTTTAAAAGATGGCTTCCAAGGCTGTTGCGTTTTTTTAAAAACATTTTTAGGGGGGCTTTTGTGAGGCATCACTTCCAAAAGCCAGGCATCTGATGTTTTGAGGCATCCTTGATGTTTTTGGGGGCAAAAGTAAATACTTTTAAGCATACGTCTTATCTTTTTAATTATGTGAAGGTTCTTGCTCTGTAAAAACATTTTGTGTATAATAACCACATTTTGGTGGGAAGCTTAATACGTATTCAAAAATGATTTGCTGCTAATGCCATTAGTGACTTGTTTTTAAGGAAAGAAAAAAACGTTAGAAGTTATTTTAGCATGTTTTATGTATTTTGATTTATCACTGTACAACCTGAGAAACGTTTTGATAAATGTGAATAGTTAGGGACTACTAAACCCCCGTATTTTGGGAAGGAACAGTCCTGTGGGTACATGAGTTGCATGTACATGGTGGGCAGTGTCTGTTGTGGGATAAAGAGTTTGCTTGCTGAACAGATATTCTAGCCTCTGCCGTGGTCTAAGGGTAGAAGATGCTGGGCCTCCTAAAGTGCCAAAACCAGTTTCCCTTGGGTGATCAACCATAGCCAACAAAGATCTTCATTGAGATATACATTTTTTGGGATTCACCCAGTTAGCTGCTGAACCAAGCTTACGCTTCATGTTCTGATCTGGAACATTGTTTGCATGATGACCAAATGAAGTTGGTGTGAGGGCCATGTTTGTATGTAGCAGGGTGATGGGAAATGGCATTCGTAACATTTAATCCTAGATATTTTTTTCTCTTCGTATCCTCAATATTTGGAGCATCTCGTTAGATGGTGATGACATTGCAGAGGCTTGTGACTTAAAGTGACACTAACCTCAGGAGTTGAATCTTAAAAATGCATTCAAATATCTTAAGATACATTTTTGTTAATAGTTATCTGTGTATCACTCGACTGTAGATCCTCAAATCATCTCTGAATTGGTGCTGGCACTGTCCTTCCTTCTGTAGGGGGGCTACTTTTGTTCCCCATGGTCCCTGTGTGTATTGTAAAGCAGTCACCGCCCCAAGCTCACGCCCATGATAGACTACAATCTTTGCTAAACTAAATGTGAGATTGTAGTCCATCACGGGAGTGAGCTTGGAGCGGTGACTACTTTGCAACACACACAGGGACTATGGGGAACAAAAGTATCCACACCTCCAGAAGAAAGGACAGTGCCAGCACCAATTCAGAGATTTGAGGATCTACAGCCTAGTGATGCGTAAATAAGAGACATTGTTGTTCATAGTTAAGGTACTTGAATGTATTTTTTAGGTTTAACAACTTACTTTAGTGTCACTTTAAATCCTTTCCTGCTCTATAGACCTCTCTCTATATAGGTATTTTTTTTTAAAGTCACTGGCTACAAATTCACGGGTCCATTTCCAGTGTCATGGTGAAGATGAAACCATTGGACTCTTGTAAGATAGTTGATCAATTTATGCTCTTTTTAGTTGATGTCCCATTTCACTCCAGTCTTGCGTGGGTACGACTTGCTAACTCAGCCTTGCAGTAGAGGTTCCAATCCTCTGTCCTCTTGTAGAATGTCCTCTGGGTTGGGACCACAATTAAGAAACCCAAACATGGCTCTCTGTAACTGACAACACAAGCAACACCTGCTAGATAACCATGTTCATGATCCCCCCCCAAAGACATTCAAATCTTCCATTCCCGTTTTGCCCTTCCCCCTGTACTAAATTCCAGGTTTTGTGCAATAGTAAAGATTTGATAACTGATAGAAGTGATGGAACTTCTTAGATGTCAGCACTCCAATCAGTCTAAACTTTTTGTGGAATCCTTCTGTTCTTTTTAGGTAACCCCCCACTCCCTGGTGTTTCCTTCTCCCTTTTTGTGTTTGTGTGTTTTTGTACTTTTTTTTTTGTGACCATTGTGTTGATGTTGTGTCCTGTGGACCACTGTATGTGAAGATCTGATATTTCTCTGTAATTTATTTTTAATATTTTTCAATAAAAATATAAAAGTAAAAACTTAATCTTGGAATTTCTTTTTCCAACACTTTTTATGATCGATAGCCAATGCTCCAAGCTCTCCCCCCATGATGGGACTACAATCTCAATACAAATTAGTAAACTAAGCGTGAGATTGTAGTCCATCACAGGAGCAAGCTTTGACTACTTTACAACACAGAAAGGGACCATGGGGGAACAAAAGTATCCCCCCTCCAGAAGGAAGGACAGTGTCGGCACCAATTCAGAGATGATTTGAGGATCTACAGCTGCGCTGAGGTTTCTGTTGCCATTTCTGTGTCCCCGTTGGGGATGCATTTTTAAAATTTAACGCCTGAGTATAGTGTCACTTTCATTTGTCCTTTTTTAAATTACATGTCAATCTAAAGGTGGCCATACACTCTACAACCCTCGCAAGACTTTTGTCTTGCGAGGGTTGTAAAGTACTTAAAAACGTACGATCTGCCCATCTTGGACAGGCAGATCGTACTTGCGATCATCGCAAGCACGCCCCCCTGAGGGGCGGGCTTCAGATGACTGCAATGTTGAACAGGCAGCGTGCGTGTGCGCACACCGGCCCGTTCGGCAGTGATCTCTCATGTTAAAAACCAGCTGAAAATCGTACAATTCTCGGCTGGTTTTCCATCATGCTCGATATACAAAAGTCGTGCGACCGTACATTAGAAACGGTCGCACGCCTTCCATACACTGCACGTTTCTCGTACGATCGCGGGATTTCCCGCGATTCTCGTACGAGAATCGTGCAGTGTATGGGCACCTTAAGACTACCATGTCCACAAGGTGGCAATGCTGCTGTGACTTCACAGAACAAGCAGCATTGTTGCCCTGTTACAGAAAGTTTATTTAAAAAAAATACCTGATGCCGATGCAACTTCCATTGTGGGCTGGCTGCCCTTGCTGGTTGAGGGGACCCCGGTCGAAGGGTTTCCCCCTACATAGTTGGATACCCTCATCTTTGTCACTTTTTGTT